CACCGGGGTCGAGGCGCGGAGCCCCGGGATCGAGGATGAGACCCCCGGGATCGAGGATGGAACCCCCGGGATCGAGGATGAGACCACCGGGATCGAGGATGGAACCCCCGGGATCGAGGATGGAACCCCCGGGATCGAGGATGAGACCCCCGGGATCGAGGATGGAATCCCCGGGATAGGGGAAGGGTTCCTGGCCGTGGAGGAGGGGATGGAGAGCGGGTTCATGAACGTGAGCAGCCGGCGGCATTCCCGGGATTTGGGGACAGGGTGGGACCGGTGGGAGGAGGGTGTGGAACGGGATGGGATGGGATGGGATTGGGATGGGATGGGATCCATGGGATGGGATGGGATGGGATGGGATGGGATGGGATGGGATCCATGGGATGGGATGGGATGGGATCCATGGGATGGGATGGGATGGGATTGGGATTGGGATGAACAGGGGGGACACGGTGACATTCCCGGGGTGCCATCCCCGTGCCCCCACCCGCAGCCAGGTGAGCGCTGGCCGGAGCAGCCGGACAGTTACCTGTCCATCGAGGAGTGCACGGAGCACGACATGTTCTTCCTGGCCCCCGGAGCCTCCGACCCCGACTCCGACCCCGACGAAATCTTCCTGAGCGCCCACGACGAGCTCAGCCCGCTGGGGACTGCCCCGGACACCCCCGAGGGACCCCTGGGCACGGGGACAGCCCTGGAGATCCCGGAGATCCCGGAGATCCCAGAGATTCTGGCCCAAGCACCCCTGGAAAAGGATGGTCCGGGAGTGCGGGACCCCCCCCGGGACCCCCGTGGGGAAGGGGGTGGAGGGGAGGGGGCTGCGGAGGGAGATTCCAGCCCCAGCGCTGGGCTGTGGGGGGAGGGAGGAGAGGTCGGGGGTCCCGCTGGGAACGGGGGAGCGGACGGAGCTGGATCCCAGCCCCTCATCCCGGGGGAGGGCGATTCCCGGGATTTAGGGGGGTCTCCTCCGGCCCCGCCCCTGGCAGAGCCCCCCGAGCCCCCCGGGGCTGTCCCAGAAGGGGCCGATGTCACCCCCGGGGTCACCCCGACCTCTCCCCCTGCCCTGGCCCCTGGAGAGCCCCCCAAACCCCTGGAGCTGATCCAGGACGAGCACCCCGAATTCCCGGAGCCCCCCAGGCCCTCGGAGACCCCCGGATCACAGGAGCTGATCCAAGTTGAGTCCCCGAGACCCATAAAGTCGATCCAGGATGAAACCCCCAAAAACCTGGAGCCCATCTCTGCTGACCCCCCGAAATCCCTGGGGCTCCCTGGAGCCCTGCAGCTGATCCAGGACGAGCCCCCCAAATCCATGGGGCCGATCTGGGATGAGCCCCCCAGATCCCTGGAGCCCCCCAAATTCCCAGAGGCTCCCAGGCCTCCAGAGCCGATCCAGGATGACCCCCCTGGATCTCTGCAGCTGATCCAGGATGAGCCCCCCAAATCCCTGGGGCCGACCCTGTCTGAGCACCCCAAATCCCTGGAGCCCCCCAAATCCCTGGGGCCGACCCTGGCTGAGCACCCCAAATCCCTGGAGCCCCCCAAATCCCTGGAGCCGATCCAGGATGAGCCGCCCAGAGCCCTGGATCCAATCTGGGGTGAGCCCCCCAAATCGTGGGATCCTCCTGGACCCCTGGAGCTGATGTGGGATGAGAGCCCCAAACCCCTGGAGCCGATCCCAGCCGAGCCCCCCAAATCCTGGGACCCCCCCAAATCCCTGGAGCCGATCCCAGCCGAGCCCCCCGAATCTTGGGACCCCCCCAAATCCCTGGAGCCGATCCAAGACGAGTCCCCCAAACCGTGGGACCCCCCCAAATCCCTGGGGCTGATCCCAGCCGAGCCCCCCAAACCCCTGGGGCTGATCCTGGCTGAGACCCCCAAACCCTGGGACACTCCTGGACCCCCAAATCTGATCCGGGACGAGCGCCCCAAATCCCTGGAGCCGATCCTGGCTGAGTCCCCCAAATCCCAGGACCCCCTGGGACCCCCAAATCTGATCCGGGACAGGCGCCCCAAATCCCTGGGGCCGTTCCCGGCCGAGCCCCCCCGGCTCCCCCCGCGCAGTTCCCGCCGCCCCCTCCCCATTTTGGGGGCTCGGGTGCTGCTGGCCCGGGCCGTGCCCGTGGTGCCC